GCCTCGTCGGCGGTGGGCGGGGCGGGCCTGCAGCCCCGCCCCATTCGCGGCCCCTGAAACCCAGCCGCCGCCAAGCTTCAGTCCCAGAAGAGAGCTGCTGTCTGAGGAGGAAACTGCATCTTCACTGGCCAGCCACAAGAGGACCTAGGGTCGCGCTGGGCGCCCGACGGACCCTCCCCAGGGAACCGCCTGCCTTGCACCTCCTGGCCCCGCCGGGCCCTCCACATCAGGTTCCCCAGCCACAGCCTCACCTGCGGGCTCCAGAATTTCCAGGGCTTTCAGAGGATGCTCGGGCCACCAACGGGGACCTCGGGGCAGCAGTAAAGGGGGGCATCCAGCCCCTCATTCACCTCCTGTCCTCGTGTGCCAAGGACTCCCCCCAGGGGACTAGCATGGTGGTTTTCCCTTGGAGCCCCCAGGCTTAGTACGTCTGAGAAGATGCCTGCCATGAGGCTGTTCACTTGCTTCCTGCAGCTCCTGGCTGGACTAGCGCTGCCTACTTTGCCCCCCCAGGTAAGAACCCACCCGCAGCCTGGCTTCCCTGATCTTCCCACCCTCAGCACTGGGAGCAGGGGTCTCTGAAATCACAGACTCATTCCAGGGACCGGCATCTCCAAAGATGTCCACACACTTCCCAGGAGCCAGGCTGGACCGCCTCGTCTGGGAGACCTCAGGCTAGGCTGTCCTAGACTCCAGCTTTGGGGTCTGTCTTGGCGGGGGCGGGGAAGCCGCAGGGAAGGGAGGGAGGTTTCCTGTCTGGCCCCCAGAGCCCTGGTGGCTTTGCTTAAAAGCATCTCTCCACTAATCTCAGGCAAGTCCCTGGCCTTGTGGTCAGGGTCAAGGCCCCATGACCAGGCAGGCGCCCCCAGGACCTCTGACCCGGCCTGGTGGAGGGGAAACCGGCAAAAGAAGCCATTGGTGGAGAGGTTAGGCCCTGCCCCCACCAGGGTTCCTGGCTGAGCCCATGGCTTCTGGGTGGGCTAGGGGCGAGACAAGGGTCCTGCTGTGCCCTCTTCCCCGGGTGGGCAGCCGGAGGTCCTGAGTGCAGGGCCTGGGGAAGTGAGCAGGGCCCTTTTCCCAGGAGCTGGGTGAGTCTGGCCAGGAGCCAGTTTGGGCAGTGAAATCCTGACAAAGCCAATGTGCTCCCTTCCCACTGTGCTGTCCTGCTGCCCTGGGAGTCCTGGGCCCCAGCCTAGAAGTGGGTGGGCTGGGCAGTCCCACAGGGGCGGAACAGCCCTACTACCCGCTTGCTGCAGGGCTGGTTAGAGGTGTAACTTCACCGGCAGCACCAGCTCATGGTGCTACCTGCTCCAGCACCTCGGCTCCCACCAGCTGATCGCCTCCCTCTGGGCTCTGGCACCCAGCCAAGGTGGGATGCACAGGGCCCAGAAAGGCTGCCTGGGGGCTGGGTAGAAAGGAGACCCCAAAGGATGTCAAGGTCTTTGGGGCACAGCAGGCAAAGGTCTCCAAAAGCCTCCAGGCTCCCACCCTTTCCAAATGATGAAACTGAGGCCAGAGAGAAGGGTGGAACCCTCCCAGGGTTCACTGAGTTTTCAGTTGCACCTGGAAAGAGTTGTCTCTGAGACAGAGTCGAGCATGTGCAGCGGGTGGGAAGGAGCTCAGAGAGGCCTCTATGCTCTTGCCATCACACTGGGTTCCAGAGCGCAGAGGCCCCAGGTTGTTCCTCTCATCTCTGCACCTTTCTGTCCACAGCAGTGGGCCTTGTCTGCTGGGAACAGCTCGTCAGAGGTGGAAGGTAAGCTGGCTGGGTGGGGAAGGGGGGTGGTGTGCATGAGCTCACCAAGCCTTCGCCTCCCAGGCCTCTGTAGAGGATGGGAAGAGATTGGCATGTAGGGTGGGAGTAGGCTGATATTAAGTTGGGGAGAGCCTGTAAGCTGGCTGATGCCCTGGCTGACAAAGTTGGCAGGGCCTAAGACCCTGAGGGGACCCACTGTTGGGACCCAGAGGCCTAGAGAGGTATATTCCTGGGCCAGGGTCACCTGGCACACAGAGAGCAGGGCTGGGGCCCACATACCCAGGGTTTGTCAGGTTAGCTCAGAGCCCTTTCCCAGCATGATGTAAGAAGGCAGATGGGGTCTTGGAGGGCAGTGTAGGCAATGAGTGCCAAGGGCCACCCTGGAGGTCTAGGAGCTGGATGCAGTGGGTGAGCAGTCAAGAGAATCAGGGAAGGGACCTTCCCAGCAGCCCAACCCTGGAGAAGCTGCAGGAATTTGTCCAGGTCTTTCCATTGATTACAAACAGACAGAATGAGTTGTGCCCTCCCCAGCCTGGGACTGCATCAAGAAGGAATCTTCAAAGGGCGAGACATTTGCCAAAGAGACATACGTGCAGAAGGCAGGAGGCCTATGCCAGGCCCCCTGCCTTGCTCCTCCCTCCCAGCCTCTCCAAGACGTGCAGCCGGGCCACACACCACTTCCCACGGAAGAAAGGGAGCATGTAGGGACATGCACACGCACACGAGTGGTAGCCTCTTCTAGCTGGGAACACCCTCTCTCTGCTGGCCTGCCCACACACACCCCCACCTGCCTGGTAGCCAGCCTCTCCTGAGCTGAGCTGGGCTCTAACATCTCAGTCCCAGGCCCCTTGGGCACTGAGATGGTGGGGGTGGGAGTAGCCTTTGACTTCATTGACACTCTCCCCCTCCCCCTGCTGTGCCTTCTGGAACTGGCACAATATTATGTTTTCTGGAATTTGGAGAAGCATCCATCATCCATCTCTATCCACCCCTGGCCTTTTTGATGCTTTTAGTATATTTCAGGCAACAGCTACCAAAGACATCTGAGCCTCAGTTTCCTCATCTGTAAAATGGGAGAGTTAGACTACATGCTACCTAAGGTTCTTTTTCTTAGATTGTAGGATTCTCTGACTCCAGTGGAGTCAGACACAGGGGTATATATCTACCAGGGACTTGGGTGAGGAGGCTTGGAAGTGTTAGGGCAGCTCACCTGTCATCCTGATCAATAAGGGAGCCTATATTATGACCAGGGAAAGAGGTTTGGACCCCAGTTATCAAAATCCGAAAAGTGTCATCCCCCCCTAACACCAGGCAAGAAACAGCATAGCCTGTCCTCCGTGGCCACAGACGCTGATTGTTACTATTACTACACATGGTGACGGTACTAGGCATTTACTCTAACTTTGTGCTGACCACAGGCTGTGAACAAGGAAGGCACTCGTATTCTCCAAGAGGCTCAGAGAGGTCCTGGGGTCACCTGAATCCCCAGACACCCCTCAGTACATGTGGCAGAGCTGGAGTGCTTGGCACCAAACCTCCCCATGGCTCTCGGCTGAGCAGGCATAAGCAGAGTGTCCCTTGTGGTGGGCTGGCTGTGTGCCCTGCCAGTGACCATGGAGAGAACACCTGCTGGGCTTGGGCCAGTGGCCAGTGGCTCTGCCCAGTCCTGTAACCCCCGCCTCCCAGCAGCCTCCCCAGAAGCTTGTGCTCAGGATGAAACATTTCCCTTCTGGGGTCTCCTCCATCCTGGGTGGTAGGCAGCTGGAGCCAGATAGGAGGCTTGCCCACAAGGTTGGCAAGAGAGCCGAGAGCCCATTCATGGCCCTGGGAGCAGCTAAGCGCCTGCCTGGGCCACAGCCTCCCGTTCCTCTCCGCCCACCCCAGCCTCTGAGCAGGTCTGGGGCTAGAGGAAGTGCTCTCAGGAGTGGCTGAGCAGAGCTTTGCTGAGGGGCTCAGCCCACATCTGGGAGCGGTCACAGCACTCCCTCAGCCGGCCCCTCACCCAGCCCCCTTTGTTTCTCCCACACACCCAGACAGCAGGCCCCATGGATGAGCTGCCCTCTTTCCTAGTGGCTGCCAGGTAAACCAGGCCCAGCCCACCTCCTTCTCAGCCCTCTCACAGCACCGACAGGCCATGTGGGCCAGAAAGTGGTGAATTTCAGGGCCCTGGAGCCTGGGTCCTATTGACACAGTCTGCATGGTGGGTGTGGGGGTGAGGAAAGGAAATCCCTCTTCTGCCGCCAAGGCCCTGCGGCTCTGCTTAACCTGGCCCTGGCCCGACAGCCCGGCTGGGTGGGCTGGGTGAGTCTACTTGCGGAATAGTAGGAGACTGGGGTGCCCCTTCTCTGCTGCTATCCCCTCCCTGATGGCTGGTCCCAAGGCAGGAGCCTGAGCCTTCAATGGCACTTTGGCAGCTGGCTATTCCTCCACTGTTATTTATGTTTTCCAAGGCGAAGATTAAATGTTCAGAGTTACAAAGTGCTCGTGAAGATTTTAGACTAAACATGCACTCACAGAGTTACAATAGGGAGGTGCTCCTCCGAGCTCTCTTTGCAAAGGCCTCTTCCCTAGATCTTTGGGCCACGTATGGGGAGACGGTCCAGGGAGAGTGAGCCAGTGACCTAGAGAGGTAGGATCAGGGAGGCCTTTGGTCCCCGCCCACTCCCAGGCCCAGCTCTAGTGCCCCCTAAGCAGACAGGGCAGAATGGAGCAGCAGACACCCAGATAAGCGTCGTTTATTGCTCCGTGGCCGCCTCAGCCAGCTCCATGTGGACACGCCGCCTCTTGGGTATTTTCCACCAGCTTGCAGCCTTTCCTGAGGGCCTCTGCTAGGGCTGAAGTTTATTTTTCTTCTGAGATTACCCTGCAACTCACCTCCTCATAGGCTCAGTGGAATGGACTTTGGCCCTTCTGCCTCCTAGGAAGGGCCATGGAGGGAAGTGAGGGGCTGCTAGGAGAGGCCGTTGCTCTTGGGCCGAAGTGTGGGGTCCCCAGGTATGCCAGCTTCCCCATCCTCCCCTACCAGCCGAAGACACCCAACAAGTGCGAGGCAGGATGACCCAGGGCTGGAGATGTGTCTCTGCCCGCAGTCCCAGGGCTGGGCTGGTTGCACAGATCACAGTCTGTCTGTCAGAGCTGGGAGGTCCCTTAGCAACCATCTATGCCCAACCTTCTTCTTTCTCCACAGCTAAGGAAACTGATATACCCAGAAAAGTGAAGTGACCTCCCCAAGGTCATACAGCCACTGTAGGGCCAGGATGAGGAGCCAGGTCTTCTGGCTCTGGCTACTCACTTTCTGTGAGCCTCTGTTTGGGGCCAGTCCCCAGGCCTTCCCCTGAAGGACCAGTGTTTTTTGAGAGACTCCAAATCAGTCCCCGAAGGATCCCAGCCACGCCCACCAGGACATCGTGGTGGGTCAGGGATGTCCCTGTGAATCTTCTACGTAGCCTATGTTTACGGGGTGCTTGGGTCCCTGTCTTCAAGGAGCCTCGACCTGCTTGTAAAGGAGATAAAAGTCACCAGTGACAGAGATAAGGCGAGCCCTCGGGGCCAAGTTATGCTCAAAACAGGAACATCTGTTCGTACTGGACAAGTTGGAGAAGGCTTCAGAGAGGAGGCAGGGAGGCAGGCCTTGAGAAGTGGGTGGTGGGCTTTATTTGGTTAGAAATGAGAAGAGGGCAAGGAGCCCGGACCAAAGGTGGGAATTATGGGGGTGCAGCCCAGGCTCGTGCGCGGGTGGTCTGACCAAAATGGAGAGTGGGGATGGGGCATATTGCTGGCTGCAATCTTGGCCCCCAGGCAGAGGAGCTGGCTAAAGTGGGGCAGGAAATAAGGATTGAGGGGAAGGCCAACCCTCCCCTTGGGACTCTGCCAGCCAATTGTACAGAACTTGCAGAACTGACTGTTTCCTGCCAATTCCCCAAGACCGAGGAAGCACTAGGTCAGGCCTGAGAAAGATCCAGAGGGCCTGGGGAGTTGCCAGGGCATGCTCCTCGAAGCCCCAAGGCACCAAGGCAGACGTGGGTGCCTGAGTTGAGACGAGAGCTGAGAGGTTAGGACGTCGTGAAATTCTGTTCCGCTGGGATTTCCATTAGGTAGATGAGCTGAGGGGTCCAGCAATAGTCCCAGAGGGATCACATCACGAGTTCAGAACTGAGGGAGCATACATAGGCTGGGGGCTTCCTGGAGGAGGGGTGTGGGCTGAACCTGGAAAGCCCTGCAGGGGCTTCAAGGAGCTGGCCCCTCTTGGCCTGACCCCGCTGTCTGTGCCTCCTCACAGTGGTACCCTTCCAGGAAGTGTGGGGCCGCAGCTACTGCCGGGCACTGGAGAGGCTGGTGGACATCGTATCCGAGTACCCCAGCGAAGTGGAGCACATATTTAGCCCGTCCTGTGTCTCCCTGCTGCGTTGCACCGGCTGCTGTGGTGATGAGGACCTGCACTGTATGCCGGTAGAGACAGTCAATGTCACCATGCAGGTAGGGAGGATCTCCTAGTGTCCTGTCCCGGCCCTCCCTGCTGTCCACACTCTGCTCATCAGAGGGCCACAGAACCTCCCCCGAGAAGGGACCTGGAGAGGGAAAGAGGGCAGACCAGGGTCCCAGGCTCTTCTGCCACAGTTCCCCTCCTTCTGGAGCCCCCTCACCTTCTTACTAGCTCTCTCAGGCTCTGGCTTAGCCCTACCCCAGGACCCAGGATATCTGGTTGAGGTTGGAAAAGAAATCCATTCAGATTCAGGAAGTCCCTGTTTATACCAGGAGCATCTGGTGCCCTGAGCTTTGCTTACATACCCATACCTACAGTGGTGTTTTGAGCACTCATTGAATAATGCCAAGCACTGTGCTAGATGCTTCCTAAATGTTACCTCAACTTCAGTCCTTCGAGCCAAGTGATATTCTTGTTTCACAGATGAGGAACTTGAGGTTCCAAGATGTTATTTCACTGGCTCAGCAGGTGGAAGAGCCAAGATTTGAACATAAGTCTCTCTGACTTCAGAGCATGGGCCCCCTCCTACAGTATTGCTATGCTGGTGGCCCTAGGAACGGAGGGACAGGGGCCTCCCTCAGATCCACATGGAGGGATGGGGGAGCTTTTTGTCCCACACTCAAAGCAGAATGAGGGTGTGTAGTCCAAAGGCTGGAGGGAAATAGGGAATCTGTTTCTCCCCAAAGTGGACAGTGGAAAGAGTATGGAAAACCCATGGGCCAGCCCCCAGTCCAGGCATCCAACCTTTCTCTCCTCACAGCTCCTAAAGATCCGCTCTGGGGACCCGCCCTCCTACGTGGAGCTGACATTCTCTCAGCACGTGCGCTGCGAGTGCAGGTGGGTCCTCAAGTGTGGCAGGACACCCGCCACCCACTTGGCAGCTTCAGCCAAGGGGCTGCCCATCCCTTCTTCAGGCTGCATTGCCTTCCTGGCTCAGGGAGACCAAGGAAATCAGCGACCAGTTGCAGCTGCCTTTTGTCTCCCTATCAGACGATTTTGCCCAGAGAGGTGGGCCCAGCAGCTGGAGCACAGCTGCCGAGAAGCTACAGGGACAGAGGGGGTCTGGGTCCCTCCCAGACTCACAGGGGTGTGGGGCACACCACCTCCCTCCCTGAGCTGGGAGGCAGCTACCATGGCCCTGGAAGAGGTGCCTGGACTTTGTTCTGGCCCAGGGTGGTGCCCACGGAGGGGGCGACTGGGCTGAGGAGCCCAGAGACGGACAAGCCGGGGCGGGAGGAAAGGGGCAGAGAGGGAAGGAGACACTGAGCCACCACCTGGCAGAGCCTCTCACCAGCACCAGTCCTGCTGCCAGTGCCAAGGGCACTCTGAACATTAGCTACCAGGAGCAGCAGGCCTGGCACTGCCAACCAGGCTCAGGGAAGAGAGAAATGGGCTCAGATGCTCTCCTGGTACCCTCAGACCATGGATAAAGTCACCAGAATAGAGGTCTTGAGCCCTCTCCTGGGGTGGGATGATGGGGAGGGCCACCATTTATGGTGTGCCTCCTCTGTGCCTTGTCCCACACTGGACATCTGAATATGTTTTCTCATTTACTCAACAAACATCTATTGAGCACCTACTCTATGCTTGGCACTATCCCAGATGCTTGAGATACAGTGGTAAGCAAGACAGACAGGTCCCTGTTCTCATAACAACCCCAGGGAGGTAGGTACTGTTGTTATCCCATTTCACAGATGAGGAAACAGAGGCTTGGTATGGTTACACGATTTGCCACAGCTAGTGAGTGAACCCCAGCCTAATCCAAAAGTCTGCCCTTTCTCATGCTACCTCTCGTGGCTGTTACCACACTCTCCAGGAGCCTCAGTACTGCCCGGGGCTTGGTCTTGCCTAGTGTCCAGGGCTCTGGCCACACTCTTGGACCCACCCCACTGTTAGAGGCCCAGCTTCAATCTGTTTCCTCCCATCCCCTCTTGCCAAGGCTTGGCTCTGTAACAATAGTTCAGTAATGAACCCTTCTGGTCACAGTGCTAGACAGTGACTTTTCACCTTCCACATCACCTCTGCCCTCACAGCCACTCTGTCGAGCAGGCAGATGAGGAGACTAAGGGTCCAAGAGTGTCTCTGACAGATCCCAGGTGGCAGAGACATGACCAGGCAGTCCCAGGAGGCCCTGGTACCCTGCCCTGGCTCCCAGGGGAGGCAGCCAGCCCAAGGCAGCCTTTCCTGGCCCCAAAGCTGACTGTCACCACACTGCCCCACGCTCCCACCGTGGTTCCCAGGGAAGACTGAGGCCCTGGCCCCTTCCAGAGGGTTGGGCAACAGGGCCACCTTTCTTATTTCTTCTGGGCCAACAGCCACAGCCCTGGGAGGCAGAGCCAGGACAGGCCTGGTGACTGTGGGGCTCTCGCTCCCCTCCCCTCACCCCACCCCTTCACCTGTGCCCCCTGTGGCTGCCTGCAGAGTCACAGGTCCCCAGGGTAGGGGTGGCAGTTGTGCCTTGACAGGTGGCCTTGACCTCATTCACCGTCCCTGAGGAAACTCCCAGAGGGCACCTTGGAAGGAAAGGCAGGTGAGGGAAGGAAGTGATCAGGGAGAGATAGCAGAGAACACTCAGTCCCCAGATCTGATGCCAAGAGGCAGAGGAGAGCAGAGGGGTGTGGAAAGGACCCCCAAGAGGGCATTCTCGCCTCTTTGGCTGGGGTCACCAGAGCCTAGAGTGGGAGTGGAAGCCCCCAGGCCTCTGGGCATCTCTCCCTCACTAGCTCTATACTACCCCCTAGTGGCTTCAGTGCCAAGTACAGGACCAGCACTAGCGATGTCCGCGGAGAAATGGCCAGGGAGCAGGGAGCCCCCAATTACTGCTTTCCTCATTCTCTCCTCCCCTCTCTTTGTTTTCTTAGGCCTCTGTGGGGGAAGATGAAGCCAGAAAGGTAAGTGGCCTGGCTGGGGCACCGGGTTGTTCTTGGGCCTGACAGCCCTTGTCCTAGCATGGGGGCCCCCAGCTACTTTGTCCTGACGCTTTGGCTTATTGCAGGAGGAGACCCAAGGGCAGGGGGAAGAGGAAGAGAGAGAAGCAGAGACACACAGACTGCCACCTGTGAGTGCGCGGGGGTGGGGCCCAGGGATGGCAAGGAGGCTGGGCCAGAGGGGAGCCCCCGCCCTGCCAGCAGGGGTGAGTGGACGGGAAGGGGCAAAGCGAGGCTGGGGCAGTGTCAGGGGCCAGAACAGGGAGCTGCACACCTAGAGATCCCAGGGTCTAGCAAGCCTCAGGTGAACCAGGACAAGAACCAGAAAGCTTTGGTTCTTGTCCTGGCTTAGCTCTAAGTCTCTGTGTGGCCTTGAGCAAGTCACGTCACCTCTCTGAACCTAGTTTTCCTCTGTGCGTAGAATGAGGTGTCAGGGGGTTCGCCAGGCATTCACTCATTCTACAAACATTCACACTTATGTCTGCCAGGTATGTCAGTGGGCAAACCAACGAGATTCCTACTCTCACAGTGCTTTCATTCCAGTGATAAAAAGTCCAACAGCTGCAGGCTTAGGCTGGGCTGCTTCCTGGTGGCCCTGGGAAAGGTGCAGTCCTGCCATGGGCTTCCAAACCAGTATTTCTTCCACCTTGGGGTAGAAGCCCAGGGTCCACTCGCTTCCCTTTCCCTCCCCATGTTACCTGCCCATCCAGATGCTTCACATCTGGAGGCCTAGGCAGAAGTCCAGGCCTGAGTGGCTGGGAGAGAAGGATTAGAGAAGGGAAAATACACACTGTGAGAGTAGAAAGAAAATATTTCACAGGCCCGGTAACTCAGTCTCCCCGCGGTTCTCCTTCAGGGGCCGTCTCCTCCCAGCAACAAGACTCAAGAAATCATTTCATGCCATGGGACTGGAGCTGATCCAAGTCCTACCACATGAGCCCGTCCTTGCACTGACAGGGACTTCCACTCCGCTCCGTGCAGATAGAGATTCTGGGGAAGTTGGTCCCCCGCAGGCATGTGGCCCTCATTTCTCCCCTGGACCAAATCAGTGACTTGGGGAGGAGCTGGAAGTGTAGTCAATGCAGGGCTCCCCTGCTGGGCAGCCCCAAATAGAAAGCAGCCTGTCGCTTTAACTTGCTAGGACAGCAGTCTTCAAACGTTTCATTCGGGAATCTCTTGAAAGGACTTTAGAAGCCCATGTGCTTCTTTGATCATTTTGAAGTTGACAATGAAATTTTAATCAAAATTGTAAATAGTTGCAAAGGATATAATTTCTGACCTATTATGAATATTATATTTTAATGTAATATTTTATTTTATTTTATTATATATTTACATTTTATCATATTTAATATAAAGCCATTATTTAACTCTTCAGATGTATCCTGTGGAATAAGCCATCCTAATTTAATACTCACTTTCATCCACCTTTAAAAGAATGAACAACTGCAACAAGAAAAATACATGAATGCTCTCCTTTAATATTTCCATTGCTTCTTCTTTCCTTGAACTTGTATTTCACTTTCCCCACCGAACTTCAGCATAATATAATTTTTTAAAATATTCAAGTCTTTTTTGTATCACCTTGTCATAGTTATCTGTCACAACAATGGTATATAAGTTTGAATTATTTTAAATTTCCTCTGAGCAAAAAACTTGAAATTAAATTTTCTCTTGGAATGAATTATCACAATAATTGCTAGTGGTACCGATTGATCAAAACAGCACAAATACATCGTATTTTACTAAATGCTAAACACAAAAGCACAGTCAATCTTAATTAGGAATGCATCTCAGTGAAATCACTATAGCTGCTTCATTTCAATTAGTTAATGAATTCAGTAATGAATGTTACCTCCTGCCAGACTGAGGCAGGATTCAGCATTCATTCCACTCAGTCACTCGAATTCCTTCCAAGTTATTTGACAAAAACTTCAAGGTGATCTGCTACAAAAATTACTTCTCATGACATATTAACTGACAATTTGGTTACCTTATTCTTCAACTTTGTAGAAAGCAGACTTGGAAACCACCCAGCCTGCAAAAGGCTCATTTACCCACTCACCATATTTCTTTTCTCAACACCTATACCCATATCTCAAATTGTTCTTTTATGCAGTGTCCCCTGGAATCCTTTTTACCTTGGGTCAAAGTACTGTTACAGAATTTGGAATGAACGTGATAATTCCTCCCTTTCTAAGGGAGAAGGGCAATTGGAAATGAGATGGTAGGAAACAAACCTCTCATGCAGACAATTTTCAGGCCGAGAACCTGTGGAGGCTGAAAACAGATTCCTTTAAAACTATCAATACTCACATACACCTTGGACAATCTTCCTGTCCACCTAGGAGTGCCCGTATCCTCGTTTGAAGACAGCTGTCCCAGTGTAACCAGAGGCATTGGTGCATGGAACCAGACTGGGTTCAAAGCTGGCTCTGTCACTGACTAGCTGTGTGACCTTGGGCAAGTTTCTTAACCTCTCTGACCCTCCGTGTCCTCATCTGCAAAAGGTTGATAGTGGCAGTGCCTTCCTCTTGGGCTACTGTTAAGGGCAAATGAGAGAGTGCTTAGCACAGGGCTGGGCACCTGGGCAATTGCTCCGTGAAGGGCGACTTCTAGCTTCTTCTTGGCCTGGTGCAAGCAGACAGCCAGGAGCGCTGCAGTCTCCCTGCGCTCCCTGTCCAAGCTTCCCCTCTGGGTTTGTCCCCCCTCCCATAGGAGGGACCCCACCCTCCACCCTGTGCTAATACCCGCTTTCTGTGTTTGGTCTCTGGCAGGTGTGGCAATACTGTTCCCCGGAGGTAACCAGCCCCTCGGAGGAGAGACCCCACACCCGCCTCGTGTATTTATTACCGTCACACTCTCAGTTACCTCCCTGCTGGCACCTGCCTCTATTTATTAGCCAATTGTATCCCTGCTGAATGACTCACCCCCTCCAAGATGAGGAGCAGGAGGGAAAGGACCCTCAGGAATTCAGTGCCTTAAACAGAACGTGAGAGAAAGAAAGAAGACAGACCCAGGTGTGCTTCAGCTTGGGAAGAAGCCAGCCATGTGGCTTTGTGAGGGGCGGGCCAGGCCCCCGGGGCCCCGGAGGTGTCCAGGGGGCTGGAGAGGAAAGGACATAGAGACCCACAGCCTGTCCCTGGGCCTTGGGCTCTTCACAGACAGGCAGCCCTTGCTCGGGGAGCTGCTGGCCAGGGTGGTGTGGAGGAGCCTGCTCTGGCCGCCAAGGACCCTGCTGGGAGGGAGGGCAAGCAGCAGTTCTTACAGCCTCTTCCTGGTGGCAGCTCTGCACCCTGGAGATCAGAACGTTCGGCTCTGGAGAACAGTGGTTGCCTGGGGGCCTTTGCCACTCCTTGTCCCCTAGGTCTCACCTCACATCTTGCCACTGCTTGTGCTGGGACATTGTTCTTTGTAGCCAAGGCATCACCATCCTGCCCCTCTCAGGGACAAGGCAAGGGTGGGCCCCAGGCTGGACATGGAGCAAACTGCCCCCACGTGGCTGTCTGACTGCCAAGTCAGATTCTCTTGAATAAAGTATTGTAGTCTGAATACAGCTGTCCAGCGGAGTGTGTCTGCCGGAGCAGTGGGCAACTGCAGGAAATGGAAGCAGGACAGAACAAAGGGGCTGTGGGCTCCCGGGCTGCCCGGGGGGTAGCTCCAGCCTGTTCCTGCAGCTCCCTGGGGTGTCTACTTCCCGGTTGCTTTAGGCAAAACCCTGAGGTCCACTTTTCCCATAAGAAGGGGTTCCTGAGATGGAGTCTTGGCCCCACACTTGGGGGCTCTGACCCCAGCCACCACTGGCTACCCTCAAATTCAAAAGCACCGTCCCCTTCCCCTCCCCACAGGGCTACCCAACACCCAGCCCGATGCCCAGCCCTCTAAACCCAGCCTGAATGGGGACTCCTAGGTTCCACAGACCCTGGCCCCAGGGTACTGAACCACACCATGTCCGGCTCACTCCGGCTGCTGAGTGCAAGGACTGGCAGATGCTGCCTGATTTTGTCCTCATTCTGTCTCCCATCTTCCATCTTCCTCTGTCTTCCTCCTGAGCGCCTTGACATGAAATGAGAAAAAAATGCTTTTTGTTTCTTTTTTCAATCCAAACCACTTACTGTAAGACTCCCTTGTGCCTCTGACCTGCAAGGTGTGTTTGTTTTTCTGTTGTGTTGCGGGAGAAGGGGAATCCCCATTCTCTCTCCTTGGAGGCTGCTCAGGACAAAGCCATAGGGCCCAGGGGGCAGAGGCCACCTCAGGCTTTGGAGGGGAGCCATGGACGGTCCAGTGGGGTGGATGGGGTGGGGTGGTCCTGCTGAGGCAGCTGCCCTTGGTGGTCAGTTCACCGAGGCCTGGGCCCCCTGGAGGACACTCTGGTCAGAATGTGCTTCTGGCTGGTGATCACAGTGGGTGTGGGCCAGCCCTGGGGGACAGGCTTTGCAGAAGAAACTCGCTTTGTTTCCTGCTTCTCCACTCTGGGGCGGCACCCATTCTGAGCTGTTGCCTCTGATGGACTGAGAGGTGGGATGAGCACCCCTCCCCTTTGGTCAGGCTCTGACAGGGCCCCAGGGACCCCTGCCCAGCCCTTGCAGGCTTGGCTTCAAAAGTCACCCACTTGGAGGTCCACCTCCCCACCCAGACCAGCCACCCCTGGAGAGAACTAACAGAGACCAGGGGAGCATCCAGAGGCCAGAAACAAAAATCTACACCCGTGGCCAGGAGCCGCACAGCAGGAGCGCGTGGAAAAGGAACTCACTGTCCCTCTGCCACACTGGCCGTCCTTTCAAATGGTTTAGGTCCTCGAAGCCCTGTTTCATTTGCTCTTTCTGTATTTGTGGAGCCCCACCTGTGTACCTGATGCTGTCTGAGGCGCCAAGGACCTAGCGGGGAATAAAACACACAGGATCTGCTTTCACGGATCTTGTATTTGAGTGGACAGACAGACCAAAATCAGGTGTTACAGGATGTTGGGTGGACTTTATTGTTTTCCGAATTGGGGACTGGACCAGAGCTTAGGAAAAAGCAGTCTTGGGTCTTCCATGCTCTAAAACAAAGAAGAAACAATTTAGGGCTGGACACATCTGCCTACAGGATTAAGAGATGGCCAGAGTAATTCTGCTAGGCCCAAACATCACCCAGAAACCCCTGCCTCTGTCTCCATAAACAGACGACGAGGGAGGGGGAAGGGAAAGAGAGGAAGGTGAGGTCCCCGGAGACCTGGATTGCTGACCCCTTCTCCTTCTCTCCCTGGAGATGGATTTGCCATTCAGACTAGCCCATGTGCTACCTGGCTGGGAACTGGGGTAGGGAGAACAGAATAGTGACAGAGGACAGAGACAGCGGACACCTCGGGGCATCCGCAGGAATTTCCTATGGGTCAGGGGGACATGGGGGAAGGTGGCTGGCAGTGAGCTGCCTTGCCTGTGTTCTCCCAAGAGGGAGACATGCAGGTGAGGAGACCACACAGGCTACAGGCTGTGGGTGCAGGGTCAGGGTCAGGGCAATAGAGGGCGGGTGTCAGGTATAGGTCTGGAACGGGAACACATCAGGGAACAGTGCTGCGGGGTGACCCTGTGGTACACCCACATGAGAGTTGGCATCTGGATGCCTGTCATATCAGGCACATTTACAGCCAGAGAAGAAATGGGCACAGCTGAGAGAGACATTCCCCTCATTTCTCCTTCCTGACCCTGAGAAAATAGAAAAAGGGACTCTGGAGAGGAGTACAAGGGCAGACCATGCCTCTTCCTGCTCCCTTGAGCCAAATCCAGGCCCTGCCTAGGGGGAGAGAAAGTGGTTAGTCTTAAATTGTGTAGATCAGCCTAGATGGGGCTGGATCTTTAATAAATTAAAGTGACAAGAACATCAGAAGATCTGCCCAAAATGCTATTAAGAAACAGGAAAAGGAGAGTCCACACGGTTCAACTAGAAACAATGATGAGAGAAAGAAACTGGTTTGTTTGTTCTCCCACTGTTTGCTCAATAAGCAATTTATACATGTAAACAAAGAAATTAATGAGAAAATGTCTTATGGCCAGAATATGGTTCTGGCATATTAGAGATGGCCTCCCCTTTGAATCTGAGTTGACCAGGGTCTGCTTTTATCAATAGAATATGGCAGAAGGGACCCTATAATGGTTCCAAATCCTTTAAAGAGGACTGGCAACTTCTGCCTTGGTCTCTTGGAACCCTGAGCTGCCATGTAAGAAGTTCAACTATTGTGAGGTCACCATGTTGGAAGGAAGCCCAAGCTTATAGTTGTGTGGGGAGGAAGGAGGGAGAGAGAGAGAGAGAGAGAGGGGCTCAGCCAGCCCCAGTTGCTCCAGCTCCCAGGCATTACAGTCATCTCAGCTGAAGCCCCAGACCCCACAGAGAAAAGAGAGATGAGCTGTACCCACTGTGCCTGGTTTGATTTCCTAACCTGTAGAAATAGGAGATATAATAACAATGTGTTTGGGGTCTGTTTGTTATGCAGCAATAGGGGCTGAAGGGAAAGTAAGGAAAGGTGATGAGACAATGTTTGGGGAAGGTTGTCTAGACCAGGAGGTCAGGGAAGGCCTCTCTAAGGAGGTGATATTTATGGTGAAGTTCGAAGGACAAGAAGGAGCTGGTCATGTGATGATCACTCCAAAACAGACAATAGCCTTCCAAACAGAAAACTCAGTTGATGCAAAGGCCTAGAAGGAATCCCTGTGTGGGTGGAGTGTGCTGGGCAAGGGAGGAAGGGCCAGGAGATGTGAGTTTGAGGCAGGCAGATCATGGAAGCGCTTTGCAGGGTAAGGAGTCTGCATTTTTTTATAATGTGGAGGGAAACTATTGGATGGTTTCAAGCAGGGGAATGAAGTGACATTTGAAAGATCATTCTGCGGTCTGTGTGGCGAATGGACCCTAGGAGTGCAGGACCAGAGGTACAAATTCCACTTAGAAGGGACAGCAAAACCAGGCAACCAATTATGGTGGCTTGTTTAGGAAGAAGTACTGGAGATGGAGAGAAGTACGTAGTTTGGTCTTAATTATGCACGTGGGCTCCCTGATCACTCATTTATGAACATTTCTTGAGTCTAGGACCAGGCATTTTGTAGTAGATACATGTGTGAAGGGACATGATATATTAGTACATGCAAGTCTCCCCACTTACTAAAGAAGATCCCGTTCAGGAAGAAATAAGCACAAGGAGAGAGGTCTTAGCTGGACAGGCTCGATGTCTACCTACAGAAGTAAGAGAAAGGAGACATGATGGGAGAGGAAAATGAAAGACCTCAGGGCGAGAGCTAGCGAGAGAGCCTTGTGTTTTGTTCGGAGCTTCTGATGATAAGACATCGTGGGAAGTGAAGGGTTTGGGGAATGTTGCTACATTTCCCTTGTGTTGAAGGCCCTGTTGTTCTCAGGCAGAGACCGAGCCCAGTGGAACACCCGGATTAGCCAGGGTTGCATGGAGATAGCTGACATTGTCCCTGATCCTAAAGTTAGTCAAAGGGGTCAGATACGCACAGGTGATCATAATAGAAGGAAAGAAGCCCACTGAGCTTACGGAAATACAGGTGAATTGCTACTAAAGCAATCTGGGCCACCTGAGATGATTGACACGTGGGGGAAATCAGGGTCAGCTTTGCAGAGTCAGTGACATTGAGGGCTAGGCAGGTTGGAGTGTGAGGAGCTGGCTGAGGAAGGCGTTGTAGGGGCAACCCGTTAACAGAGACCCAGAGGTGGAAAACCCAGGGATTTTCAAGTGCTTCAGTTTGGCTGATGCTTAAGGTATGTGAAGCAGAGGCGT